CCCCTCCTCCCCCCCCCCTTCGACCCTCCCTAAACCAGTCCTTCTCTCCATCACGCTTTTCCACAGAATCAACCCAGCAGACTAGCAGAGGGGAAAAAGGAGAAACCCAGCGCAGGAGGGCTGAAGAAAGGTAAGCTTAGGGCACAGATTAGAAGAGAGAGAGAGAGAGAGAGAGAGAGAGAGAGAGAGAGAGAGAGAGAGCAACTGGAATTCTCACAGGAAAAAGAAAAAGGTAAGAGTGACGAAATGAAGATAATCGAAGAATACTCGAGGTCCGCGGAAGAACCGTCATAAAAAAATGTAGGCTCGCCCCGGAGAGAACACAATCAAAGCCTCCTACCCCGTCTCATCGATACACACCCCTCATTTGGGGAGGGCGGGGGGGGGAGGAGGGGGGAGGAGGAAGGCTACTAGGTCGCTTTTAAGATTTGAAGCCATAGCCTGCTATGGCTGGCTGGGCAATTTATTCTTGAAACTCAAATTGATTGACTGCCTTAGGTCAAAAACAAAGTTTAAAGAGAACAAAGAACACCGGCAACATAATCACAAATGTATTACCTCTCTCTCTCTCTCTCTTTCCCTCTCTTGGTTTCGCCACCACGTTGACATGCGCACACGTCTTCCAGATTTCTCTCTTTCACATGTGTCCCCTCTTTCACACCCTCTCTCTCATTCTGTCTCACTCCCTCTCCCTCGCTTCGTGCATCTCAAGTTCCGCGATGCATATATGAGCATATGTATAATTCTCTCGCTCGCACAGTCTCCGAACCCAAAATAGACGAACAAACAATTGCCCAAGTAAATAGACAACCAACCTGCGCCACCTGGCGCATCGCCATTCCCACCAGATCACCGAGCCCTTCATGTCTCATCGATACAGACTTGAAGAAGAGAAAACGGTCATGGCACATCCATGCTTTGCTCTCTTCAATCCACCTTCAACGACCGCCTCAACACACACGTGCATTCGTCGTCAGGGAGAAAAACCCACTCTCTCTCTCTCTCTCTCTCTCTCTCTCTCTCTCTCTCTCTCTCTCTCTCGCTCGCTCGCTCTCACGTGCCCAAGTCACTCCTCTTCGGCAATATTTTTCCCCCATCCCTCTCCCCGCCTCTTTTCCACACACACACACACACACACACACACACACATTTCACTAGCTGGGGCACGCGTTCACTTCGCCGACTAGCGCGCCAGATGGGGCATAGAAACAGGCACACGTACCCGCACACGGTCTACTGGAGGGACGAATCAAGCAGCTCTACTCTCAGTAGTCGGACAAACAGGGTCCCAAGTGCTCTCTCTTTCAACGGATACTGTTTGCATCGCCTTGCTAACCTCCACGTTCCCTCCGGCCCCCCCCTTCCCCCCCTCCCCCTCCACCCCCGTCGCCGTTGCCTTTCCAGCGACACGACGAGCCGCTTCTTTGATCCCGTCATCAAAGCCCGCGCTACTGCCTCTCTACGTGCTTCCAGTTCTCTGCATGCACTTCCTTGAAGTCCAGATAAGGTGGAGGGGGAGGGGGGGAAGGGTGTACGAATAGGAGGGACGCAGAGCAGAGGACACGTGCACGTCCATCGAAAACACGGAAGGACGAGTTTGCTTGCTCGAGAGGTTCATGCGCTTGTTGACTGGCACCGTAACTGGGAGATTGATTGGTAAAACGAAGGGATTGATCGGGTGATTGATTGGTCGAGGGACTGAAGACACGTGGACAGGGGAGGAGAGGGGAGGGGACAAACAACCGAAGGACAAGCCGTCGTCGATGAGTCCATCGCGACGCGAGGACGGCTCCGTGGTAGGCGGCACCTCTCCGAATGCCATTACCACATGTAGGAACATGCGCACACTGCGCGTCTTTCTGAACGGAATCTGGCCGTAAATATGGTCAGATACGTTCAGGAAAGTGTGTCAAACATATTCAGAGATGTATAATGTCCTCAGAGGATAAGAAAGGGGAAGAGATATGAAAGCACTCCCCCCAAGAGCCGCCGCCAAGGTAGTACGAGCACGGACATCTGAAAAAAAAAATAAAAAAAATAGAAACAGTTAAAAAAGGAACATGCAACCTCACTAGTTAAGACGGAGAGAGAGAGAGAGAGAGAGAGAGAGAGAGAGAGAGAGAGAGAGAGGAATGCGAGAGATACAACGTGCAAGCTACGTAATATATGCATATATATATATCGTCACAAACAGAACTGCCCGGTAAACCGTAGGCAGAGAGAGAGAAGAGGACAACAAACGAGGGGCTGTGACAAACTGTTTCGTCGTATATATATATAATAATTTAATTATTACCAACCTGCCCTATACTGTGCCAGTTGTGCGCTCATTTGCCCGAAACGGACGAGAGGAGCAGAAATTAAGGAAAGGGCTCTCAAGAGGGCAGCTCGCAGAGGAATCGACCTGCTTACTCTGGCTCGACAAGAAGACACAAGCACACACAACCCAAGCATGGCCTTCGTCTCCCACCTTCCTTGTATCGTAGCAAGATGCTGTAATGGATCCGATACTTTAATGATGACGAGAGCAATAAGTAATATGCATGCATGCATGCATGCATGCATGCATGCAATACGCACTAGGTAGCGAGCCCACGTGCGCGGATTCACACATATCAGGTGTTATTTCCTTGTTATCCCCCGTTCCACCACCTTCCGTCCTTCCTTTACCCTCACTGATCGACCTTAACTCGCTGGTGGATTATCTAACAGGAAGGAAGAACATCACGAACGAAGAAGTAATGTGCAGAGAGGTAGAGAGAGCGCGACGTGACGCTGACGCACCGCGAGCAAAGCCGAGAGAGGAGACACGGCGCGCACAATGTCATTCCTACCTGAAAAGGAAAGGAAGGACAGCGCGCACAATGTCATCCCTACCTGAAAAGGAAGCAAGAACAGCGCGCACAAAGGCCGTGAAGGGACCAGGACAGGGAACGGTACCGGGAGGGGGTACACGTAGCGTCCGTAGGCGTGGGAGAACCACCATTAACGGAGAGAGAGAGAGGGAGGCGAAAGACCTCCTCCGTTAAGGACTCTGTAAAGCTCTGTGCGCCTAACGACTGCGCTCATTTCCTTGCATCGACAAGAACCGTGCGTGCTTCCTCCACGGCATCCTGTTTCATCCCATCCTCCCTCTACAGCGATATTCATACGAACGGCGATGAAGCCCGGAATGAGCCGAAAGCGAAGCGAAGCGACGATGACTAGTAGAACAGAACGATGCTCCGCAGCTCATTACGGGATCGCGCTACTGCTTGCTCCACAATGCAGCACGGCCGGCCGCGCTCGTCAATCTCTCTCTCTCTCTCTCTCTCTCTCTCTCTCTCTCTCTCTCTCACACACACACACACACACACACACACACACACACACAAACACACTTATGCGCAAGCCACGTATCGCATCCCGTCTCCTGGTACACTTCTCTCTACTTGCAGCTCTCTCTTTCATTTTCTCCCCTTTCATCTTCGCGTAGGGCAACGCTGTAGTGCATTTCTGATGGGCCGCACACGTACGCCTTTACCGCTTCGTGTTCACACTCTCTCTCTCCCTCTAACACGCCCTCGACGACGCCTCCCGGTTCTCATCCTCCCCGCCATCCTCGTGCGTCTCTCTCTCTCTCTCTCTCTCTTCTCTCTCCCCCGCCTGCACAGTTCATAGAGTTTAACCAGTCCGTCCATCGTTGACTCGCCTTCTTCTCTCACTCCCAGACACACGCGCATCTGCATGCCGCTTTCCTGGTTCCCATTTGTCCATTTTCAAGTCGCCCGTTCTTCAGTCTAAACACTCTACCTTTGACTACGGCGCCTTGGAGGACGAAAGAACAGTAAAGGGATAAGCCGCTCCCCAAACTCTCCCTCCTTCCAAGACTGGTGTGCGGGCTCGAAATTCTCCACACCCCCCGCCTCCACCTCTCTTTTCTCTCTCTCCCACACACACACACACATACACAGAGACCCACCGCAACGGTTTCTTCTCCCACGGAAGGGACTTCCTTTGGAACGAATAAGAGCGATTATCTTGCTCATAACGCATGACGGACAGCTTCTCATTAGCCGAAGCCGTCAAATGTCATCATCACACTCAAGCGCCTCCCTCTTCATCTCTCTGTCTCACAGGCACACACTTGACATGCGTGCGTGCGAGCGAAAGAACTGTAGGCTGACTGAGGCCATTGCTTCCCCACCCCTCTTCCAAAGAGCTTCTCAGATGTCGAAGCCATCCACTGTCAACATCACGACCACGCCTCTCTCTCTCTCTCTCTCTCTCTCTCTCTCTCTCTCTCTCTCTCTCTCTCTCTCTCTCTCTCTCTGTGTGTGTGTGTGTGTGTGTGTNGTGTGTGTTTGTGTGTGTGTGTGTGACACACACACGAGTCGCTCATGCGCGTGCTCCGGTTTGCTTCCTCTCCTCTCTCTCTCTCTCTCTCTCTCTCTCTCTCTCTCTCTCTCTCTCTCTCTCTCTCTCTCTCTCTGTGTGTTTGTGTGATACACACACGCACAATGTTAGGGCCGACTGAGGGCGAAAAAACGTCTTCCTCAACGCTTGTCTTCACAGCTTCTTATTTGTCGAAGCCGTCACATGGCAGCCCGTCTGAGCGCGTCGTCGTGTCTGGGCACGCAACGTCCCACTTATTTCAGAGCGTCGGTCGAAGTCCAATCAACACCATTTTCCCCTTTCTAATCATTTGCTGCTGTCCGCGTTCGCCACTACTACCCATAACATCCTCCTCCTCGCGGGAACACACAAGCCGCACACAAACGCACTACACACTAGAAGTTTTGTCCTTGAGTTGGTTGTTAAGTGGTATAAACTAAGCCGCCCATTCACTCGCACCGAACCCCCCTTCCCTCTCTCTCTCTCTCTCTCTCTCTCTCTTTTGTTGACCTCCCCCTAAATAGCTCCCTGCTACTTCCCTCCGACTGAAGTATGCTTGCTGCCGACAGCAAAAGCAGCTGTTCAACGTAGATGTCAACCCCATGCCACCTGCCTCTTTCTCCTCCTTTCCATTATTCCCGTTCCTTCTCTTCCATACTCCTCTCTCTCTCTCTCTCTCTCTCTCTCTCTCTTTCCATTCTCACCCTGTCGGTGCATGGCCCTCGTTCCCCAGAGCACGGTATGCGTTGCACTGAACCTGGCAGCGCTCAGGCAAGAATTCAGATGATCTCTACTTGGACAGGCGCATTGCTGAACTGACGACGCAACTGGCACATCATATGCTGTGTCGTGCTCTGCTCCTGCTTCCTGTCCTGTCCACGTACTTCTACTCCTTCCCTTACTCCAGCTTCACTGCCACTCCGCCTGCCTCCCTCTCTCTCTTCCTCCGTGCTCAGGAACCTCTTGTACGTTCCATCTTCCAGATCGTATTGCCTCTTCATGTACGATAACCCTCCATCACTTGCCGTCACAACCTTCACCCTCTTGACCCTTGGACATCGTCTCACCACCTTGTCTATCTCCGCGCTCGTCCTTTGATCAGCCTCCTCTACCTGCAAGCACAGCGCTCCCAACTCCTCCCAAACGGCCGTCCCTCCATCCATCTTCTCCTGCACAGACCGCAGTCCGGGCAAGTCTATGCACAGCGATCGCAATAGCGCGCTCCTTTGTACCAAGTCGTCTAGACTGATCTCTGCTGGCCTCACCTCTTCTGGAAAGAAATCCCCCGGTCCGTTCGCTCCCGCAAGTATATGCAGATGCCTCAACGTGTCGATATTCGAAAAGATTAGATCCTTGGCGCCAAACCACTGCCATCCGCGGAGTTTAATCTCCGTCAAACCAGAGCAGAGGGGGTAAAGAAGGTGGAGGTAAGTCGAGCGGGAGCTGGGGTTGGGAGAGGCGGAGGAGGAAGAGGAAGAAGCTGAGGCGGTGGAGGACGACAGGCGACGGAAAGACGAATGAAAGGGCTGAAGTCCAAACCTCAGCCGCACGGTATGGCAGCTCAAATCAAGAGATTGAAGGGACTCACAACCCTTCCACAGATTAACATCCAGGGCTTGCTCGTTGTCCGCACAGACGTGGAGAGAGCGCAGCTTCGGTGTCGTTAGGGACAAGCAGCACTTATGAAATTCTTCATACGCAGCAAATGCAAAGCGTAGATCCGTGAGATGCGGCGCGTCGATGACCACGTTCATGACCAACTGCTCATGTCTAGTTTCGTCCTCCGTCTCATAGGGATTACCCCAGTGCAAGTCCAGAGAGGTGAGCGCTGGGCATTCATCAATAAGCGACTGAAGGTACTCGTCCGTACAAGCCAGCAACTCTGTCAATTTCAAGCGCGTGAGATTGGGAAAGGCTGGCTCGATGACGGCGCCGCCGCCGCAGTTCCCCCACCCACTACCACCTCTCCTCCCAACGCCAAATCCTCCTGCTCCTCCTCCTCCTCCTCCTCCTCTCTGCTGCGCACAAGCTCCGCCGCCACCTCCACCCCCTCCTGCGACATCACCGACCATGGGAAACAACGAGAGAGAAGAAGACCACGTGTTCAACGAGGAACCGAAGAGAGTTGATGAGGAGGAGGTGGTGGTGGAGGAGGAGGAGGAGAGAACACAGCCCCCACTACGGCGATACAACGCCTTTTCCTTATCATACAACTTCTCTGTCACCATGTCCCTCCACTCGACGCTCATCCTCTCTCCCGCCACTTGCACCTTACTCACTTCCAAGCGAGTAAGCAGCTTGCACGTCGAAAACACCTTTATCAGATCAATGGAAATATGACGGCCCAACACTTCGCTCGAGGACGAGTGGTCGAACAAGCAGACGGCGCGCAGCGAATGACTTAATCGGGTCACCCAAGATTCGATCGCGCGAACCAAAAGATACGGCCGACGAGAATCATAATACTCTCGACGCTGACCAATCGGCCTGCCAGAGGGAAAGACCTCAAGGGTTTCAAGACCATCTGTCAAGGCCAGAGACCGAGAAACCACGTTTTCTAATCCGCCAGCGACCGGTCCTTCGAAGAATAAAGCCCCCGGTCGCACGGCCAGCTCGCGCCACCTCTTACACACAGCCCGGCAGCAAGCGACCGTCTTCGCACATCCGATATGCGAGAAGATCTGGGCTGATAAAGCTTCGGGCAACCGATCAAACCCGCAAACAGAGCGCCCACAACTGACTACAGAGGAGGAGGGAGGCAAAGAAGAAGAAGAAGAAGAAGAAGAGGAAGAAGAAGAAGAGGAAGAAGAAGAAGAGGAAGACGGAGGAGAGGGGGGGAAAAGACAAAGATGAGAGGAAGACTGGGACGCCACGCCACCACCCCCCATGCCATCGCAAGCACTGAAGCCTCCGCCCGACAAGGCTATTCTTTTCCTAGGTCGCTCCATCGACTGATCTCCTCGGGCATCCAACGATCGTTATCGATCAATCAATCAACGACTGATTGATCGATCGATCAATCGATGAACAACCGCGGTCGAATCCGCAAACCCAAAACCAATCAATCCGTCGATCACTCACTCAATCAATCAATCGATATCAATCAATCAATCGATCAATCAATCAATCAATCACACTTCTTACTCTTCTGACGATCGCTTCGTTCAACCGACAGACAGACCGATCTACAACCAACCCTATCAACGAGACCACCAATCGCGCACGCGGATCCAAGCATCCAAAACTTGTCGCCTAAATGATAAACCCCCTGCAATCGATCAGGCGAAATCTCTCCGCAGTAAGCAGAAAACGGTCGCCCACCCTCCAATCCTCCTCTCTGCTTCAGCAGCGTTCAACGTCTAATTACTTCATAGTAGTTTGATTGTGGCCACTACTATCAAAGAAGAGACACATCATACCCCACTAACCTGTCATGTGCTTCTGAATATCCGCTGAGGCAGCGCCCAACATGATAAGAACAAGTGTCACAACGCTCAATCCCCAACTCTACCCTCGACTCATTCCTCTTGTGTTTTTGTTCGACCTCTTCACCCAACCACATCCTCTCTTCCCCATCGAAAGCACGAAAGAAGACAGCATGTAAACTCCAATGAACAAACCCGCCACTGCCTCAATCAATCAAGCAAAACCTGATGTAAAGCCGCGTTGCTCATGAGGAGGCCAATCTTGCGAATGATTATTACGTTCTCGCAAACACAGGCCACGCCGTTACTTGGTGGAGCCCTACACAAACTGCTACCGACTGGATATCATCTTCCATGCTTTCGAAAACCCAGCCAGCCCTACACAAGAAGGTATAAGATCATACAGTATGTTCTCCTCTTACAGTATGTTCTCCTCTTCTTCCAAGACCTCCACTCATCAACTCCACCTCATTTGACTCGAGGGGTCTAGCCGGGCACTCCCCTTCCTGGGCCGTAACGCGCCCCTCAACGTCAAATCATGCGGGCGTTCAGCGCACAAAACATCATCCCAGAGCCCGCCTTCTTTCGCACGAAGCCAATTGATTCAGTATTCTCGTACACATTTACAGTTCAAGGAAAACGTAGTGCAGCTCGGTCTCTTCCTGGACGACAAGCAGCACACTCAAAATAGGGCTTCCTTCACCGAATCTGACTGTAAATGTGACCGAATACGTTCAAATGCAAGTACGAATCTGACTGTAAACGTGACCCAATACGTTCAAATGCGAGTACCATCTTCCTGCAACTAGCAAGAAATAGTTGCAGAAGCAGGTGCTGGAGATCGTTCCTTCCCTCACGAACGGTCACCCCCCTCTCTCTCTCTCTCTCCCCCCCCCCCTCTCTCTCTCTCTCTCTCTCTCTCTCTCTCTCTCTCTCTCTCTCTCTCTCCCTCTCTCTCCCCCCCCCCCCCCCCCCCCCCCGGGCCCTTACCCTTATGTGGACTGAGGCATCAACAATTAATCATTAGTTAGTAATTGTAATGCAGCAGAATAAGAAAGGTGAACGCGACCAAGACTGAAGGAGGTGGAAGAAGAAAGAAGCCACGCGTTATGAAAGAAAGCAGACTTCCAGGCAGGAGATTCCTTCACAATGTGGCGCCGTTTCTGGTTCCTCAACTGTGAAAAATCCTCACGGGGCCAGTCTGAACAGGAGCCGGAAAGTCGTTCATGGAGGTCGCTCCTTGTCAACATGCTCGTCCTTCTAAATGAATCCTTTCTTCTCCCCAATATCCCCTATCCACCTCCACCTCCTCCTCCTCCCCCTCCTCTTCCTCTTACACCTCTCCCTTTCTGCAAACTACAGATCTCAAGTCATCTGCAACCATGGCCAACCTCAAAAGAGCCTGGTATATATCGAGTGCGCCCACCGTGCCACGTGTGGAGGACTAATCTTCCTGCGGCATACAGCACTCCGCACAACCGTATCAACCGGTGCCCAAACTCCAATAGCACATTTTTGAACACGTCAAAACAAACGTCAAGACCAACGTGTCAGCTCCTCCCGCACAGCTGCGCGCCAAAACATCGAGCGCATAATTACCAATCAAACACGTTCGCGTCTAATACGACAGACGACAAATAGATAGAAAGAATGCCCTCCCTCCTCCGTATCGGGCAACCCCTTCCTCCAGCTTCTCCTCGTCTCTCTTCTGCTCCGTCCTCCGTCTTCCTCTTGCAGTCTACCTCCCTTCTCTCTCCTTTCCCCCCCACGTGTCACCCCCACGTTAGACCCCGCCTATCGCCACGTCACTGGCCTTCATTCTGCTCGGTTGGCAACACCGAGGATGAACAAATAGAGACGAGGGCTGGCGTGACAACCCTCGGTGGGCCTTTGCACACTCGCTCCCCCCTCTCGACCTTGGCAAACCTGACACCACGTTTTCCCCTCCTCTCAACACACACCTACCTTCTCCCCTTCGTGCGCACCTCGTGACATTATCTCCTTAGCTTTCCAACCGTACGAGAGCCGCCCCCCCGCTTCCCTGCCGCGCAATATCCTCTGTCGTACAGAACCTACTGATCCCCCCACGTTTTCCCCTCCTCTCAACAAACACCTACCTTCTCCCCTTTCCTCGCCTTTCTGCGTTACGCACCCCCGCAAACCATGCACTCACACTTCATCACATCTACGTGTTCTCTCTCTCTCTCTCTCTCTCTCTCTGTGTCTGTGTGTTTGTGTGTCTGTCTCTATGAGTGTGCGTGTCTGTGTGTGTGAGTGTGCGTGCGTGTGCGCGCGCTTGTTTTCTTTTCACCCTTCTTCCCCTTAGAACCCCTTTCGTCGCCCACATTCACTTACTGTCTATCATTCACGCTCATTGACCTCTCTCTCTCTCTCTCTCTCTCTCTCTCTCTCTCTTGAGCGCATACACACACACAGAGGCACGCAGACACACACATTCAACCCTCCGGTGGTCCCCACTTACCGCCTCATTTGGTAAACCCTCTTGACGCCATAGACAAAAGACAAGGAGGTCACCAAGCCAGCTGGCTGAGGATGCTTATTTGTGGCGATGGCTGGCTGACTAGTCAGCACAGGTATCCCGTTCAACGCGCAGATGCGCAACACTTCGCCTTCTTGCGGAAGGTGCGCTGAGGCATGGACCTCGTAGATTGCTCCGCGCTCCCTCTCCGCCCCCCCCCTCCTCTCTTCCCCACCCCCAACCCACCCACCCTCTCCGGACCGGTCCGCCCGCCCACCTGTCCCCTCCCCGGGGAAGCAGCCCCGCTCCCGACCTCCCTCCCACCAGCACGGTCTGACTTCGCCCTTTTGCAGCTTAGCCTTGCGCCTGCCCAGCCCCACCTGTTCCCCGCCCTGTCATCTAATGGGGAAAAGCCTGTGCTAATCCATCCTCCTCCTCCTCCTCCTCCTCCTCCTCCTCCTCCTACAGCTGTTGCCACTCCCAAGCCACGGAGCAACGCGACCGGTCACCGCCTGCTTCACCATTACTGTTCATTGCCAACTGTTCCCCCGAAGAAAATGACTTTTCATACACAACGAAAATTCTCATTCAAACCACCAACGAAATCCTCCTTTCTCCCTTTCCC